ACACATTCTCTCATCACATGTCTCCTTGCTACTGCTGCATCGTGTTACAGCTCCTCAGGCTTCACAACGAACCCATGCACACAGGCTCATACAAGTGTCCCAGGAGGACAGGCACTCAGATTCAAGTAGAAACTCCTGTTTGTCTTCAAAGCATGTGATGCTGGTTCTTTACACTGTCAAATTTCTGCTCACTTGCATCCTTCCAGGGCCATTTCCTGGCCCACTGTCCTGTTTTCTGCACAGGCAGCACTCCCAGCTCCTTGCCCATGCTGAGCTTCATCAGCCTGTGCCAGGCATCCGTTAAGCACAGTTCCCAAAACTGATCCCTGCAGAGTGCTGCCACCTCAGCCTCTTCTTGTCCACCCCCTCTGCTCCTGGGCAGCAGATTTTGGCTGCCTGGGACCCTCAGTCTTGTTGGAGCCGTTTCCTGCAGCTGATGCAGGCATCTGCAACAGAACATACTGGTGCTTCGCTGAAACCAGTTCCAGGCTGCCCAAAGGCTGGGCATCATTTTTCATCACTGCCTCTAGCTTTCATCATAATCCAATTAGGAGCACATGGACGCCAGTACCAGACCCACTTAAGTTGTCTGTACTTAACATTAATGCAGCGTACTGCATCATTAAAATCCAGCAATCTTGCAACTCTTGTGGAAAAGTACTACAGCACACAAAAAGCCAAGAATCCTCTAACACCCTGTGCTCCATTTCTGACTGCTGGCATCACTCATGTAGAATAGCCAGCAGCTGCTTCTCAGCTAGGTCTGGAGTGGGATGCTGGAAGAGGCAAGTCTGCTTTGTTTGTTTGGAGCTTATTGTGTAGGTAATTCACAATGAAAAAAAAAATCCCTGTAGTGGAGGGGAGGGAAATACAGACCCAGCAACAAGTAAGAAGGCCACTCGTGCTTGGTGTGTGCCTTGGGGCTGCTAACTTTAACAAGGTGGTGGCTCTGAAGGCTAAAGCCAGAAACAGCAGGCATTCTCATGGCACCAGTGCTGCTCTGCTCAGCCCAACCAAGGGCTTGCAGGTGCTGGGTGGTTACTGCTGCAATATTGTAAAGCTTCAAGGTAAAAAAAAGAAATAAAATGCTTCCCTAGTAAGTTGAGAATTCGATTTAACAGGAAAAAGGCATTTGTCCTGATGAAGTCCTCCTGGTCCAAGGAGAACGGGCCTTAAGGGCTCTGCCTGGGCCATTTCCCCCTCCCTGTTGGCCATCCCTCTTGCAGTGCGGCCCACACACTGCTGGCTCATGTCCAGCTTTTTGTCCACCAGGACCCCCAAGTCCTTCTCTGCAGAGCTGCTCTCAAGAATTTCTTCTCCTTGTACTATACTTGGGATTGCCCCAGTCCCAGTGCAATCCCTCACATTTGGCTTTGTTGAACCTCACTAGGTTCACATGGGTCCACCTTTTGAGTTTATCAAGGTCCCTCTGGATGCCCTTCCTTCTGCTATATTCACCTGCACCACTCAGCTTGGTGTCAGCAGCAAACTTGATCCAATTATATATGTCATTGATAAAGATGTTTGAGAGTACTGCTCCCAAGATGGACCCTGGGGGACACTGCTTGTTACCAGCCTCCATCTGCACCTATATAGAACCACTGACCACAGCCCTCTGGCTGCGGCCATCCAACCAATTCCTCATCCACCAGATTGTCCAGCCTTCAAGTCCATATCTCTCCAGTTGAGAAATAAGGATGTGGTGCAGGACCATGTCAAAGGCCATGCCACAAGTCCAGGTAGATGATGTCAGTTTCCTTTCCTTTGTCCACCAATGTCATTGCTCCATTATAGAATATGGATATAATTATATAATATATGATACTATATATTATAAAATGGAAGCTATACTTCCATTTTCTGATCAATGTATTGATGCTTTCATTTTATTCTCATAAATTTTCTACAAGATTATTCTTTTTCTTATCTTTCATGGAGAAAGCAAAGCACAAGGAAGTTAACTGAATAGGCTGTGGTCAAAAATGAGTTTGGACAGGCTGATATCAAAATTCAACTTCTCATACACCTGTTTACACATCAACTGTATTCTTTGCAAAGCATCCTTATTAGAGGATGAAACCTTTCCTCAGTGAATTTGTGGCAACCGTAGAGCAGGTGCAAGGGACCTGTAGTCCCCTGAGTTAACAACCCCAAGGCTCTCTCCATTTTCTAATGACAGATGTCCAAACTGCATGCAAAATCATGGGTGCTGTATTCTGAAGCAGTGGGATACATCCCACGTAATCCACACCTGATTCAGAATCGATTATCCTCGACCTGTGGGCATTAAACACTTCATGCAGCCTCTGCACCTTATTTCCTCATGAGCAAAATGGAGACAGCAGCTCACTAAGGCTGAGAGTCTCAGCTGAGCATTGCTGTTTCTGTGTGCATGACAATGACTTTGCAACTGCAGGAACAGCCCACATTCTTCAACATATTTGACATCAAACCGTATATTTTCAATCTGTCTTCTGAATAAATTAATATGTCGAATTTTCATCTTCCCAGATTGTTTGTCAAGATTATCTCTAGCCTGCTGAGGTTGTCAAAGAATGCAGAAAAGTAGGCTTACCTCCTTTTGCACTGATAATCTCGCAGTACACAGGAAATGATTAGCAAGTCTTATTAGCTGGAAGACAGGTGAACAGACACAGTGGCTAGAAAGATCACCAAAAACAAATGCCAAGGGCTAGTGCCATATTGGCAAAACTGCTGAATAATTTCAGTTCTCTCCAATGAACTGCCTACTGGACCTGATACCTACCCCTCTCCATTTCTAGCAACAGGTTGTAGCCCTGATACTTATTTTCCTGGAAAACTGCCATTGACTCACTCTATCGACTTAGGTATTTTGTGATGTCCCTCGTTTACATTTCAGCAGCCTGTTAAATTTGACCATCTTTTTTTTAAGTGCAACCAGCCACCACCCTCTGACATACATGGATCTGTAGGAAAACACAATGTGAAGCCTTCCTAATTTTAGCTTGTTTTGGCATATTAGGAGTTTCTAACATCAGTCATCAAGAAAAATACTTTACATACCAAAGTGCCACCAAAAGCACTTGCTCCTTTATTTTACTAAGGCTTTAACTAAGCCTTGTGGTGAACTAGAAATGATTTTTCATCCACAGTGCACCTGCAGTCTCAGTTAGCCAACTCTGTTTTCTCTCAGTGAAAAATCAACGATATAATAATGCAGACAGTATGCTTTCAAATGCATCTAATTAATTAGCTGACGTATTTGCGCTACTGCTTTTCATCCTGCCGGAGTCAGAAAAGCTTATTTATTTTCCTAGTAGCAATGAATTACTGCGGAAAGTGTTAAGCTTTTGCAAGCAGAATTAGTGTTATGGTTGAAAACACAGGGCATTCCTATGGAGCAGCAGCTGGCTTTCAGCTAGTTTGTCCTTTGCATACTCACAGCCTCCTTTAGTCTGGAAGAAAAGGTGATCAGTAGACGCCAACAAGTATTATCCCAAAGAAAGCACCAAACATCCATTCAGTAAGTGCAGCTGTACGCAGTCCCATTGGCTTTGTCACCAGGCACTGAGAGTCCTGTGCCACCAGCTGAGGGCAGGTCAGTGCGTCACTCCTGCATGTGAGGCTTAGCATTCCTCACATTCCCTGACCAGCTTGTCAGATTATTCTCTCCTCAAGGAGATGGTTGCCATATTTCTGCCTTAACAAGTAATTCCTGAATACGTGAGATTTGGTGGGTTTGTTTCAAGTCTGAAGCCTTGGGGCCCGCCTGGTGCACTGAGATGCCTGGGCAGAGGAAAACTGGAGCGCGTGGGCCATCAACTGCATGAAGCTCAGGCAACCTGGAGATACACTGAGGCTACCACAAATGGTCAACACAGTCTCACTGCACTGCATTTATCACATTCCCCGAAGTATGGTGTCCTTTCACTCAAAACTACTGCAGCAATTCCTAGCACCTCAATTTGGCTGCCAGTGAGATGGGGAGCATTTTCCCAGGGAAGAGTTTTCACCTACAGGCAAATAAGAACTGGATCAGGTCAATAGCTCACCTAACCCAGTAATTAGCCTTTGGAAATGGAAATAGGCAATGCTAATTAGGGGCAGCATGTGAATCCATCCACTATATGCCACTTTTTCTGCTTATAATCCTCAGCAGCTAAAATTCACTGGATTGGAGATATCAGTGGACACATTTCAGGTGGTCATATCTGCTTATGAACTTCCTTTTTCCTGAAGTTGCCTATTGACCTATTGTTCAGCTGTTGCTCATGCACCCACTCACAATACAGGAGATTTCCATTCAAAAAGCCAGCTCCTTGATCAGAGTTCATCACAAAGTTACAGCTCCTTTTGTTTGTCCTTTTGTTGTGTAGCTATGGACTACTTTGGCAATAAGTATTTTTTATCTTCTCTTCTATAAACAGTTATTATAACTCTCCTAGCAAGTAATTGCACAAGGGGATGAAATTTAAGCTTCATCCTTCTCAGTAAACATCTCACAGAGCACAAATATGAATTAATTTTCTCTGCCTCCACGTGCCAGAGAATACAGATTTATCCATGAAAATTAACATAGTCTCTGTTGAAGGGGCCAGGACATCTCTTTCCTTCAAAGAAGAGCACTTAACCTTGTGGCTGGAGTCTCCTGCAGGCAGGCTGCCAATGGTAGAGGCAGGTAGGTATGCAGTTAACAACATCATTATTCTTATCCTACATAATAGTGTTAACCATGGTACTACTTGTTAAGAGGGGAAGAAGAATACCTCATTTTCTCTTTGTTGTTTGGTATCTGATCATGTCTGATCTGCTTCTGCCTCTCATGAGAAAGGAATATGCTCATGTATCTTGTACATCCCTTGGGACACAGGTAAATGTATACACAGCACCAGAAACATTAGCAGGAGGCAAGGGGGAAACCTTTACGTAAATTATAACCATCATGATGAAGAAAACTTACTTTTACAGATGGTAGTGCTGCTAGCTAGGGTTAAATTAATACTTTTACAGACAAAGAATGGATGTGACAGAAAATGCATTTATTTAAACTGCTGTACAATGGAAATCTCAATCGCTTTCAAAAGCCAGCTGAGGGAGAAGTGACTCACATAAGTTGCATACAGGAAGCCTTTTTGTAGTTTTCAGCTCTGAATTTCTTTTTCTCCGAATATAACACCACTTGTGTGAGTGCAGTTATCTGATGAGTGGTAGCAGTGTGCTTGACAGTACATAAACATGGAGAAAGACATGGTTCCTGCTCTGGGGAACTCACAATCTAAGATACGACATGGACAATACTATTCCAACACATAACAACCAACTGAAATATCAGCAATCAGGTATAAGAAGATCCACTTTAACAAGCAATTGTAATACCAAATATATATACAAAGGCTACAAGTAGGATACAGTGGTATCTTTGTTGTTCTGTATTTATATGTTCACATGTATACAGGCATGTAAGGTAGTGACGGTTTGCTTAAGAGGGAGGCTTTTCCTTTGGCAGGGCTGCTCCAGCTTGTGCTTCCTGAACAAAAATAAGGAAAAATAGGGCAGAATTTAGTACTCCTTCTGTGTCTTTACGTCTGATCACTGAACAACACAAGCTGAATTAAATTCCATGAAGCAGAGAAACTCAGATTTGGGAGAGCTAGTGTTGAAGGGCTGATAGCTTTTCTGTCCCGTTGAGGCACCGGGTTTCAGTACATATGCTGAAACCTATGGCAGTTATCTCAGAAGTAGAATTAGCTGAGAATCCTACCAGTGTTAGAAAGAACACACAATATTCTGCATCTGCTGTTGGGAGAGAGTCCCATCATCCGAGGGAAAACCTTTTGGAAATTCCAACCTGTTGTAGACAAATAGTTTCTTCCTAGTAAGTGATTGCTCAATCTTTATTTCTGTGCACAAGAGATGAGACAGTAGGAGGAAGAAGGAAAACTAAAAATTAAATTTAAAAGCACGTTCTGACAAAACTTGACCAGTGCTTCATGCTCTTATTCTGCCTCTGGGACGATCACTGTTTTGAGTTTCAAAAATCACTTTTGTCCATGTTTCTAAGCAATCAGAGTAATAGACTGTAGTGTATTATACTTCTGGTCAGGCCCTCCATCCTTCCCCTTTGTTTTGAACACGTTGACCAATTTGAGACATGAAGCCCTTAAAATTTTCAGTGAGATCAGAAAGGTAGAAGAGAAGCTGCAATGAGTCTAACAGTTAAATGTACATTTGGCCCATCAGTTGAGCAACTAGAGCATATGTATGGGTTTGATTAGTTCTTTCCATTCTTGTTTTGAAGGCATTGCATATAACAACATGCACAAAAATTTCAAGTCAATGCTTCTTTAGGAACATTTAGAAACTATGCTGGGTATCTTATACTTACCTGAAAACCTTTCAAGAGAGAATGTGTCATAAGGAAGTGTACTAAGACTCTTCTTGTTCCTCCACCTCTTCTTTTTCTTCTCCCTCTTCTTGCTTTCCTTCTTCTTCCTTTTCTTCTCCCTCTTCATGTTTTTCTTCTTCTTCCTTTTCTTCTCCCTCTTCATGTTTTTCTTCTTCCTTTTTATAGAAAACATTTGTAGTTTAGAATATAATAGGTGAAGGAAAAATAAAGAGTCTTGAAATGCTTTTGTAACTGCAAAAGTAATCTTACCAAAGCTTTAGAAAAATAGAAGAGTGATACACAGATTTTTTATTCCTAATAGTCCATGGCTCTAAGCTTTGTGGCGTTAATGGGCAAGGATAGGAATATGAGAATTCTTTTCTGAGATAGGTTAGAGCATAGTCCATAGATAAGATGTAAATAGCCATTCTGAATCAAAATGAGAAGATACAGTACATTTAAACATGGCAAAATTTAATACTTTGAATTGGAAGTTTTCTTCAAGTAAACAAGCGAGTATTCATGGCAGAGGAAAAATACTCACAAATAATAATAGAAAAAAATCATTTGGAGTCAGATAAAAAAGGCTTTATTTCTTTTTCTAATTTTTTTCTCTTTTTTCATTTCCTTTTTTTTTTTCACAAAGGAGAAAATGCACAATTTACAGGCAATAGTTCTTTCCTCCAGTCAACCAAATAAACTGCTATTTGAAAGGTAGCATTTATGTAACACAGATAGCAATCTGTGTTTATTGTCTTTTAAGAGCTAGTAAATGAAGCGTAGAAGTATAACCATGCTCTTAAAAACAACCAGAAATAGCACTGTAGGCTTCTCTACTCCTTCTCTTCCAGTAAACTCAGGCTCAGAGCAACCTCACCTTCAACGTAAACAAGTTTTATCTCAAAAAATGTCGCACTTTTACACAATATCTGAACTACAAAACTTAAAGGAATTTCATTCTGGAGCTATAAGCAAATTAGAGATTTCAAAATTAGTTTTCAGGCAGGACTGCTGGTAAGGATGTTCCATTTAAGGATGGAACTTTGCTTTTTCTCTCACAGTCCATATAGGAATCATATCCAAGTAACTGAGTCAACCTATTTAAACATGGGCTTCTGCTTTCTTCTGAGAAACAGAAGTTCTGCAGTCAGATTTCTGTTAGTGAATAGTTGTTTTTAGATGAAATTACTGCACTAAGGGATCATCCTTACAAAAAAGGGAATATAAGATAAGTCAGCTGAAGTTCTCCTTCCAACAAAATATTTTCTCTCTCAGATTCTTTCTGTAGAAGAAGTGTCCTTGGTTATCACTCTTTTTGAAACTTGGTAGAGTGAGGACTTTGAACAATGCAAGCAGCAGTATCTGGAAGAACCATATGCATTACATTAAAGACAAGGAAGGATAATGAAGTCAAACTGAAGACTGCTGGGCCCTATCAAGACAAACCAGAGAAATCTCAATTAAAAAGGAGGCAAATGCCTAACTGAGTGTGCTCCTCAAGACTGAGGACAAAAGCTTAGGAGCAATGAAGACTATCAGCCTTCCTTCCCCGACCCTCAGATTACCACTGAAAAGACCCCCAGGGGTGACTGCGTGTGCTCTAAGGGGGAGGGTCTTATGTTAATCAGTTCTAAAAACAACATTAATGAGTTTGAGAAAATATGTAGCATGTGCATGAAATTCTGGAGCAAAATGTGAGTATGTATGAGCACAACCAATAAATATAATCTACACGTGAGCCAAGGCGCATATATTGGACAGAGCCATCCCCTGTGTGCCCAGCACTGCAATAAAGGAATACCTGCTAGACACAACTCTTTGGCATGTCAGGTTAATCTCCTCGGTACCAAACTGAACCAGGAAAGCCCTCAGACAACCAACGTTGTTTAGGTAGAATCATAGAATGGCTTGAGTCAGAAGGGACCTCAAAGCTCACACAGTTCCACTCACCAGTTCAGGCTGCTAAGGGTCCCATCTAACACTGTCTTGAATTCCTCCAGGAATAGGGCACCACAGCTTCTCTGGGCAACCTGTGCCAGCACCTCACTAGCATCTCAGTGAAAAATTTCCCTGATGTCTAATCTAGATCTTCCCCCTTTCAGTTTAAAACCATTTTCCTTTGTCCTATCACTACCAGACTGTGTAAAAAGCTGATTTCCCTCCTGTTCACTTACAAACAATGAGTCACCTTATAAACAAAGGTCACAATGACATCTCCCCAGAGATGTCCCTCTCTTCTCCAAGCTAAACAAGCCCAGCTCCCTCAGCCTGTCTTCGTAGGAGAGGTGCTCCAGCCCTCAATCATCTTCATGGTCCTTCTCTAGATCCATTCCAACAACTTCAGTGTCAAATTTAAGTCAATTACAGTTTACAAAAGATATATATTTTTTTATTGCTTGTAGTAAGAGCTAATAGTGTCAGAACACTCTAGCAAGCCTTCACAGCCCTCACAAGCCTCACCAGAAGCACCAAAAGCACCAGTACTCTGCCCATGGGCTTAGGAATTCCATTTTAGCTTTCATACCAACAACCCTGGCAGCAGGCATATGTGTATGTACCCATGTATATATATATATGCCTGTTTTGCAGTTCGGAAGTGGGAAGATTAGATGTGCCCCCTGATTAATTGCAGGTTTGCAGTGGAAAATAGCCTAAAGTAATAATTAATTTTACTGAGTACAGTGAAGAAATATTGAAGGCATAAACTTGCAATGCTGTGTAAAGCAGAGAAGCATGTAAGAATTTGCACCTGGGCCTTACAAACTCTAGAAGGAAGCAAGGAAAATATACCCTTTGTAGGCTGAACTGCCTAAATCATCAGCATGGCTGTAATCAGCATAGTGTCAGTCACAGATTTTCAAAGACCTATCTCTTTTGTGAGTCCTTGGCAAATTTTATTGAAGAATCCAGGAAAGTGTATCTTTCATTGACAGCTTTTAACAATTAACTACCTATTTATGCTCTCCAAAAACATGACTATGATGTGATCAACAATTTTCTCTAGCAGAATTTAATACTGCTACATTCTGTTTCATGAATTTGCTATCTTTTGAGTGTTAGAGAGACCAAAAAGGAATTAAATGCACACAAATGAAAGATGAAAGCAAAATGTCTAAAGAATATACTATACCCCTGCCGCCGCATCTCCTTCCTTGTTTTCCTACATGAAAGAAACACACACAAAAAAAGAGATTTAAAAAATGATCAAAAAAAGAACATCAGAGGTCATACAGGGAAAGCACAGCAGAAATTAAGCACTGAATGCAGGGAAATTATGTGGAATTCAGTGGATTTACTTCAGGATAATGTCCTCCAGCTCACAAAGCACATTTGAGCTAAGCATTTACTGTGAAAAGGAAATATAAAAGCATAAAACACAGCTCTCTTTTTCTCAGTTACTTCCAATCAGATCTGCTTCATTTGCAAACAAATCATTAGAGCTTAGGTTTTGTTTGCTTTTGCCTTAGTGGGGGAGGGGTGGTGGTTAGCTGGTCTTCAAAATCAAAGTTCAATCAGAATTATGCAGTGTTCTATATGTGTTATATATCATCACTCAGAATTTGATTTGAAGTTCTACTAACTGTTGTAGGCTGGAACAGATGTCTTGGCTCAACATTACCAGGGAATATGAAATACTACAAACTGGCTTTAGACTGTAGATTGAGCCAAAGTGATGAAGAGAAGAGGGATAAAAGAGAGAAAATAAGAAGAGAAAAAACAGTGAATAGAATTTAATGTCAGATACCAAGCCAATTGTTGGAGAGAAAGACAAACTTTACACAAAAAATCAAAGAGGAAAGGCAAATTCAGCTGTAGCACACAGAAGGCATGAGCAGCTATGACATTACGTAGAATGAGTTGAGATAAGGAAGTGATCTGGAGTGCCAGGGTTTATATGTGGCCTGGGGAACTGCAGAGACAGGATACAGACTTGCATTCTAATATGATTTTTGAACATGTTGCTAAAATAATTCTGCCCTGAAGTGAGCCTGATCTGTACTGCAAACTGATTTAACTGGGACTCTTAAAATGATTCAACTCCCCCAAGCTAAAATCTAAAGTTAATATCAGACAGTAAAAATAAAGAAAAATAAGTGCATAGGAGGTCACAGTCCTTTCTTCCAAAAACTCAACAAGAAAGGGACAGACGAAGCAAGGGTAAGGGGCGCCATATCCAAGCAAAATGGTTCCTCAAACATCTCTATCACTGTGGGGATTAGGAAAGAAAAGAAGGTTAGGAGTAGGTCCTAATTATTAGGAAAAATAAATTAACAAAGTGATCGGGGAAAGAAAGAATGTGTGAAAGAAGTGATTGGGGAAGGAAGGAAAGGTTTAAAGTGAAAAAGAAATTATAATCAAGAGGAATGGAAGTGTACCTGTCCTTTGGCAACACAGACTGAGAGCTGCTCTTGTTACTGCAGAATCTGTGTAAGGGACTTTCTATTCCAGAATCTGCTCTGGGCTCTCCTGGATCCATGTCTGAATGAGGAGCCAGAGCTGCTGAACCCAGGCAGTCTGAAAACCTGCACACAGGTCTGACATGAGGTGAGTGAAGAACAATCTGTTGCAGCGTGCACTTATCTCTGCTGCTTCTAGGAGGGAGCTGCTGACCTAAGAAATTTATTTTTCAGAGGACTGGGGTCTCTCACTGGCTTTCTCAGGGTCCTACCAGCCTGAGACAAAAAGATAGAGCTTCTGGGCTCCTGTATCCCAAGGTACTGCAAGAGCAGCAGAAGCAGCATGGAACACATGCAGCCTCCACATGTACCCATGCTGGCTACTGGTTACCATTCCTGCTGCTGGGCTGGAAGAGCATGCTGAAAACACCTATTCATTATGGTCAAGCAATTGAACAAGGTGTGCTGGGCTGCAGAATGAGTGGAAGAGATGGAAATACTGAAAATATCAATATAACAAAATATAAACATTTAAGGCCTAACAGACAGCAGAGGTATTCCAATAGCAGTCTCATAAACATTAAACTTGTTTAAATTCATAAAACCCTGACTGGGTAAGAAAATGCTATTCTCTTTGTAGAGTAAAACAATGAGCTACAGACATGAAAAAAAAAAATTCTGAGGCAATATGATTGTCTCAAAGTTATCCTTCTCATCTAAACTAGTCCCCTGCATGCTCACTGTAGTGAATGAAAATATCAGAATTTCAAAAGAATGATTAATGCCATCCATACAGCAGTGATAATTACAATGATCTGTGGAAAGGCAGACAGATGCCACGTCACTGATGTGATCTGTCCTACGTGACACAGGGAGTGAGTGGGAGGCCAGGATGAAAAATGGGTTTTGTTCATCCCTGGCAGGAGCTACCTTGCTGCCTGCAGTCATGAGAACCCTCTGTGACAATGAGTGGGACAGAAACAGGAACAGTGCTGTTTCCTTCCCCTAGGAGCTGGAATACATCTGACATGATGAAGGTGGGTATCAGAGCTGCATGATTTCTGGAAGACTTTTCTCCCCACTTATGATATACCACATAAGAACATTTCAACGCAGCCAAGATTGTGCAGTTGAAAGAGTAAGATTTGGAAGACTAAGTATGTCTTGTGCCCTCATAACCAAGAGAGATCTGATCAAATGCACCATCTTGCCTGGTGTTCACACCCTATTCTACCTCCCTCCCTGTAAAATGAGAGGTCAAACATACTTTCCACTTACAGCTCCAATCTATTCTGTAAGAAATGGAGCAAGGTGCTTGTAGTATAGGAGCAGCATTGCACTATGTCATTACAAAACCTCTCATACACAGCTGCTTGACACATTTGCAAACATGTTCCAGCATTCTGTTCTCATTTGAAAAACATTACAGTAGACAATCAGCCAGAACAGCAGGTAACCTAATCCAGCCAGGGTATGCACTGCAGCATTGTGCTGGGTTTCTCTTAAGAGCTGGCATTTCTCTAAAGAGAAAAGGGTATTGATGGCATTTATGTGCTGGCTGAATTCATAGAGACATGAAAAGCACTTGGATACAGTTTGAGGAGAAATTTCAGTTCCCTCTGGAGACTCTTCTCCTCCTCACTGCCACGCAGGCAAAATTTTAAATGGGACTTCCAGTGCCTGAGACTTGGATGATGTTGTGCAAAAGGGTGCATCATTCCAGCCTAGTGGTTTTGTCACTGTTGAAAATGGGAATGGAGAAAGTACAAACAGAGACATTTCTTCAGGATAAGCACTGCACAACACAAAACAAAACAAAACCACACAAAACAAAACACAAAACAAAACAAAAGAACATTTGTTTCATTTTCTAGTGAAAGGAATGACACATTTCTTACAATTCAGCAGTATGCTGGACTTTCTGAGAAGAGACTCACCTGATTCTACAGCACCAGAACAAACCTGTTCTTAAATGCCATACTGGCAGAGTAGCAGCAAAAGCATCTGCATCTCTATCTCCAGACACCGGATCCATTTCTGCTTAGTCTCTATTGGTTCTAGAGTAATATTGCCGAGTAATATAAACATTTCACTGAGGAGGAAATGTGTACACAGCAGAATCACTGCTTTTCACTGGATTCATCTGTGCTTTCAACCACAACTTTACTGATATCAGCTATCTGCAGGAGAACGTGAGTATCATGATTTGCAGCAATTTTGCTAGAGAATTGAAGGAAACAGATGTTTTCTTTCATGAACCTTTCACAATGCAGTTTGAGATGTGCCCATGTGACTTTGATATCTTGCCATGAGGCAGGTAGAAAAGATAACAACGCTCTGCATTTCTGCTCTGCCCAGGGGTTCCTGCATGGCCTGGAGAAGACGCTGTCAGATATGACTGGCTGTGGCAGCAGTCAGTGCTGGTACATGACTACAAACATTAACAAACAGATTTACGAGCACTGCAGATGTTGGCCATCGATAGCAGCAAATTTTTCCACAGGGATGGTACTCAGATGTCCAGCTCTAAATTATCCTCCATAATGAGAGTCGGGCTCCAAATGAGCATTAAGAAAAAAAAAAAAAAAGCACACGGTCACTAGTGGCAAATGTAAAATATTAAATAAAGACAACTTATTTTATTCATGTAGAGCTGTGTTCCCTGGAGTATTATCTAGGTTTCATATCACCATGATGAAGAAAATGCATCCAAAAGACAAGCAGGGCCATTCTGCAATCAGTCTTCCCCACTCTCAGGCATAGCAGGAGGACCATGGTGTGTTTTTTCATGTGCTCAGCACAGGTAAAACCCTCAAGTCACAAAGGGAAAAAGGAAAAATTACCTGCTGATCTTCTGATGGTGGCTGAGGCTCTTCATGGGCCCCTTCATCTGCACTGTGTTCTGTGTGTGCCTCAGTTTCACCAGTAGTATCAGACTTTTCAGTCTCCTAGAAGCAAAGAGGTTATTGTTAGTCTCAGGACACACAACCAATAACTCATTTCTATACTCCTGACTTTCTTATTTGATGAGAGGCTTTTCTAATTTTTCTTTAGCACTCAAATCAGAATTTACCCCTTTGGACATTTTTCTTTGAAAGGAGCATATTGCTCTGTTGGTAAATGCAGGAAAACATGAATTCAAGTACCTCTTGCCAGATTTCCTAATTCTCTGTTGAGAGTTTAATAGAAATAGATGCTCACAGTGATGGCACATTCTGGCTTCAGGATAAGAAGCTTTTTTTCCCCAGCATGCATGCCAACTAAACTTCACTAGGAAGATACAGAAAAACAGATATAACAAAGGATTTTGTACACAGTCTCTTGACTGTGTTGAACAACACAGACTGTGTTGTTCAAAATCATCAGGTAACTATTTGCAAAGTGATCTATCTAATCTATTTATTCCACTGTGAGCACTGTGACCTAGCAGCTCATAGAAGGCTCTTCATTTGAAGTCCTGCCCAGGTTAGGTAGATGTGAAAAGTCCCACTGGATCACAACCTGTGTCAGATAAAAGGAAACTACTACGGTTTTGAATGGAATAATAGAAATAGGTTGAACAGCAATAGCATAAAGGGCAAAGTCACGCTATGTGGGACAGGTAGTTCTGGGACAGATTCTAGAAACAGATGTTTCCACTGTACTTTGGGAGCTTGTTAGCTGATGATCATCAAATGAGAAAAAGGTGGATATATTTAAATAACCAGAGAATAACTGAGCAAAGAACACGATGCAACAGCAAAAGTGCTAATAAGCACAGTTCTCAGATGTATGAGGTGAAGCTGAAGGCAAATATTAATATCATTGTGTGAAGCAAAGGAGAAACCTCCTCTGGATCACTCTCTGCCATTCCAATCATCCAGGCTCAAGAAAGAGAAATTTAGCCTGGAACAGGTGCAGAGGGGGTTAGAGGAATGTTTGAGGGAATGGAGAGCCTGTCTTATGACAAAAAAAGCTACGCTACTTTCATCTATTGAATGTAATGCAGTGAGGGGACATGATGGTGCTCTAAGAATAGATCAGAGTAAATATCAGAGAGGGATAGGATAAGGAAGATCACTGAAGTGTATGCAAAATGAGTATGAACCACCTGTAAATAAAAACTCTAACCATCGGCAGAGTGAAATTCTGGAGGAGTTTTCTAGTAGCTCAGTGGAGGCAATGGACCTAACTTACTGAAGGGAATTTGACCAATTCTGAGAAGTGTTAACCTGGACTGGTTGCCTCAGCAATAGGGAGTTGGGCTCAGAAGTCATGTCCTGTGCCATAAGAAGTCCTACACACTATAGGCAGAGCAGCACATCCCTGAATGTGAGAGGAGGTCCTCTCCATTCCTGTGACAAAGCCTTTACAACTCATCCACCTGAGTGATTCTCACACAGTTTGCTCACTCCTTTACACAGCTACATGAATGCTTTTGCCGTTGTGTGGAGGATGGCTGGGGACAGCAAGGAGCAGCAGGGAGCAGGCAGAAGGGGGATGGAGGATGGAGGAAGGACCAAAGGCTCTTTTTTTCTGGCAACACTGTCTCATTTGGAAACTACATAAAACTGTGGGCTTGCTGTATGGTGATGCTGATGGCATTGTTATTAAAAACAGATCCACAGAGACACTTTCTTGGCTTAACTTATCTTTCACTTTTTCTCACAAGGTAACAAAATATTTGAAGATTAAAATGTGTAGCAATACAGAAACATATTGGTACTCTCTTGTGCAACATTGTGTTTGTATGTTATTTCCTTAAGCAAATGAGAAACATACTTTCTTTGTAGCAAAATGGAAAGGTTAGTAGCATTCATGAGATACAAATCGATGAGAAACGTGTTTTCAGCATCTACCCTAACACTCCATTTTAAAATCCCTGCAGTCAGTATTTCTTGGCAGACACACAAAACACATAAAGCATGAAGATGGCATTCTAATTAAAATGCATCTACTGTGTATAACTATCTCAGATGAATCATATACTTCCTTAGAATGTAAGGTAAGTAGAAGTGCTGTCTGAAAGATGCGAACTCCATAATCAATCAGCTAGCACACACCTGGACACGCACAGAGTTCTCATGAATTGTGTGGAGAACCACAGTTCCACTGGGTTTTTCTGGGGATTATTTTTTTATTTGAAATACTATTTTATTTTTAATTGCTATTTTATTTGAAATTTGAAATTACTATTTGGGATACCATCATCACACTAGCTCTACAGAGCAACATCAAATTCATCTTTTAATTATTTTAAAATGAGGTCCCTTTCATGAAGATTGACTGACCAGTTACGTACCTTTAAATAAAATACATGTTCTATAAATTTGTAGTTCAAAGCTGTCTTAGTATAAGTTTTTTTTTTCAACAAAAAGGCTAAAGCCCAAATAGCTGTGGGTTTGGGGATACCAAGATAATGACATTAAGATCAGGAATACTAAGATTAAGGATTTAAGTATACACAAGATTTGAAACAAGACCCTCAGCCTAAGCAGTTTCTCTGAGTTCAAAGAGCAATTAAACACAGATAATCTTTCTGCAAGCTACCTGATCTCTGGAGTTAAGAGAAATGGAAGCAGTATTCCACTTTGGTTAATAAAGCTGTCAAAAAAAAAAAAAAAAAAAAAAAAAAAAAGAGCTTGTCCCTGAAAATATAAAGCAATTAATTGCCTGCATTGGACCTTGCTAAGATGCTCAAAGTTGTGGTAATACTGCACCCTATTCATTGTCTTAGTTTAAGTAATAGTAGGCATCTCATTGACAAAACAATTCACTTGCGTCACTTTAGGAAAACAAACAAACAAACAAACAAACAAACTCTGTAGCCACAGCTTTTAATGGGCTTCTCACAAAATAACAGTATTTCAGAGCATTTTTGACCACATTTTGAGAACAGTCTCAGGCTAAGTGTAAAAGTGAGGATGCTTTGAAAAGAAATGTATTCAGATTTAGGGGCAGCTGCGAATGACACAGCATGACTCTAGATATACAAAGTACACTGATTACAAGTTTACATCTGTACATCATTCTGTTCATGTCACTATCCAAGATTAACTAAGATCTTTCAGAATTCTATCAGTAATTAGAGCGGTCTTTTGGTCAGGCACAAATGCCAGCCTGTCATGAAAGACGTTAGGAATTTGGAATAGAAGTATTTAAGTCCATGTATTCCTTCAAGTGAGAAGGTATTTCATATCAACAGACTAAAAAAATTACTAACACAAACGTCCTGCCTGCTTTTCTCATCAGCATAGGGTGGTCAGACACAGAAACAGGTTCCTTGGGGCAGTGGTCACAGCACCAAATCTGACGGAGTTCAAGGAGTGTCTAGGCAACGTTCTCAAACATGGGGTTTGGTTTTGGGTTGTCCTGTGTGGAGCCAGGAACTGGACTTGATAATCCTTATGGGTCCCTTCCAACTCAGGATCATCTATATTTCTGTGATTCTGTGACATCAAATGCATTACTCATCACCGTTAAATGATGCTTTAGAAAATATGATAACCAGTGTGATGATGAGGCAGAAAAAAGAGGGTTGTTTGAACTAAGTCACTCTTTTGGAAGTACCAAAAATATGTGTTGATCTTTGATAGGACCACTGAGCTTTATATGGCCACATCACATCCATTATAATAATGATAATAATGTATTTAGTATATAGTAAAACAAAAGCAATCTTTTCCTGACTCTCACAATGGCCTAAGCAAATACTCAGCATTTAAAGCAGCCTTTGCAAGATGTGCAGAAGTTTTCATATGCCATTCATGCATCAAAGTACTTCACTGTACTGGAACTGGGAACACAGTGGTCAATAGTAACTTGTTGTTTGTACAGCAATGCCTTACCAAGACACTTCAGCATTGATCAGAACATTTTTGGCTGCAGGCAGAAGTAGGTGCCTATTTAAGCAGCTGCCCCCCAAATCTTTTTCTGGATTCCCTAGTTAATTTTGATGCTGATTTGCTATTTCCTACCGAAACAACTGAAGATTTCTTTTTTGAGAGGATTCTTAAAAAGTGCACAGTGACCAACTTACACCTGTGCTGCAGATCTAAGGGTCTTCTTTACATATCTATGCATTCAGAACTTCTTTTGCATTTATCTTATAGTCAATCTGGCCTTGGAGACAACTTTGATATTATTTGGACACATCAGACTCACCCTATAAGCTTCCACATTAGGCTCTGCCACCATCTGATCTCCAATACCTAGCAGTAACAGCTCAGTATAAACACTGGATAAGTGTCTGGTAATGAGTTATAGCCACCTAATGCAGAGACATATCAAGATTATAAGAAAGAGAATTTGCAAACTTGAAACAGATGTTGCACTCAGCAGGATGACATGACAATGAATTTAACTTCAACTTGTTAGGAAATTTGATTTTGTTGCAAAAGTCCCTCTGCTTGCTCTAGAAAACAGGTTCAAAACAGCCTTGGGTCAAGATGCTAGTGGGCTGTACTGTGAAACAACCACAGTCATTAAGGAGCTTTTCTACTCCTGGTGCAATAAGAGTTAAAAAATGGAAAAGGAAAGAGAACCTTCTGAGGCAACAATAGTCAATAAAGAAAATGTATCAGCTTTGTATTAAACTTTATAGTGATTGCATGAGGTAGTAACACCCATAAAGCAAATGATTAGGCTGTTTTATGATGTTTAGACACCCCACAGCTTATTTATTTTGCAAATTTTACAGTATTCCAGGAACTGATGAAGAGGAGGGAAAGGGTAGGGGAGAAGTTTAGTTCGGATGAAGGGATTAGTATGAAACTATCTTTCTCTTGTCGTCATCAACAGCTCTTCCACACCTGTCTTGTTATCCCGGATTCATGCTGCTGAAAACCATCGTCACAAATCACCCATTGTACTTTATGCTAAGGTTGAACTGACAGTCAAATGAAAGGACAGCAGAAGCAGTGCACAAGGTTATTTGTATAACAGAACGTGGACAAACTGTCACGCAGTGAAGATGCTAAGTAAGACTTCTAAAACAAACACTAAAACACTCATATATGTATTTCTCAAATTCAGAAACAGATTACGAAGGGATGTAAATAAATGTCTACCCTTTACAAAGATTTTTTAAATCAACTCTCACTTATTTCTGCTTTCTGGACTGAAACAACCCCCTTAACAACCAACGAAGCCATTAATCAGCATAAATCACACTTGTTCTCTACCAATAGCACTAATAGTTATCTGCCCAGCTGAATGCACTGACCTGTTATTTTCAACATTTAAAGCTGTCATGAATCAGAAAATGTAAGAGACTTAGCTGACATCTGGGAATGAATGAATTCTAAAGAAATGCTACTTGGCTTTACAGATCCTGTATCTAACAGAACCTTGCATGAAGGAGAAGATAATATAAGAATTGGGAAGACGGAAAAATGCAATTTTCTTTATCTCGTTGATCCACCACATATCTTTTATAATGATTATTGTAAGTAATACCTGCAGTCCTTTAAGCCTTGCATGGCTCTCTGGACGTTAATTCAATGAAATCTCAAAAAAACCTTGAGAGGTTGGCAAGTAACATTTTTTTCTCTTGGTGGAAGATGGGACAGAAAACAGAAAGTTTAAATCACTTGTTACTTATCACACAGGGTCTCAAAGACAACATTTATAGCAGCTGTGGTTCTCCCCTGGATTTCTCTTCATCTGTAGTTCTCAAAACACTTAGTGAAACTTGCTTTTCTCTCTGCTTTTACAGCAGAGGATGAACAGAGGCATCTACAATACTGTTTTTCTCAGAGTTGCTGGACAGTTGGCAGCTTAGATCAGAAAGCAGATCTCATGCTCCAGGGCAGCTCTTCATCCAGGTCATGACAATACAGAAGAGTTCTATGCCGTCACTGACTCATCACTCCTTTGATTCAATTTGTTTGTTTACTCACCCATGTTAAAGGCAGCAACATTTGATTATGATCAAATGTGGTTGTGAGATAAGAGAGTTGTAATATGCTGTAATATATCCAGTTATAGACATTTTACTATAAAAAACTCTGTTAAAGAAAGAAAGAACACATTGTAAAAGGAAGAAGAATGAGTAGACTTGCCAAAGGGAGTTGTCACTATCCTTCATCTGACATGCTGAGTCACTGCTTATCTTTGTCTCTTATTAAAATCAAATATATTACCCCCACGGAAGGACAGCAGAGCATACCTTTGTGCCTGGAGGAGGAGCAAGACCCAGGAATGAATAAATAATATTTTCTTCTTTAGCAGAGAAAAAGGATTCAAAGTCCTAAAAATGAAACAGACAAAAACAAAACAAAAATCAGAGAAAAAAGACAGGAGGAAGAGACTAGCCCAGGCAAATCTTTCTTACACTGATAAGAATGACTAAATTTGTATGAGTACCTGCATTATCTCAGGCTCAGGAAGAATAGTTGGATAAAGAGAACTTCATCCTGGCTGGCAAAATGAACAATTGGGCAAATCCCTCCAGAAGCTTACACTTTAACTGTATCTACATCAGAATCAGATGAAATTAAGCATCTCATTTTAACGTGCCTCAGCTATACATACAAAAGCAAAGCTATTCCCATTCAAATATTAAGATAAACCATGCTGTGAGTAAGAATACAAAATAGGCCCTCAAAATCCTGGGCAGCTTTGTGGAAATGAAAACAGAACACTCAATATAATAGCACAAGTTACATGATAATAAGGGAATTGTTATAAAGAAAGGCATCTAACCAGAAAACGCAGAATCTTTTCAGAGAAACTTAGCAAAAGGTTGTGTTGTTCCCTCCCATGTATATGTACAATCCCAAATGTCTTGTCCAAATGTGAACTGAACATATAAATCAGCAACATAAATGGCCATTTTCTCTTAAGAGCCAGAAACTGAAAAGTAACTGAAAAAATGGAATGTATGGCTCCTATTCTATCAACTAGAACTCACATGGTCTTTATGTTCATGCATACAACCTTTCTATTGAGTAAGAAAAATCTGCTATCACTGAATTGCTTCTGAGGAAGTCATGATTCACATCTTACACAGCAAAAAAGTTAATATGTATCTAAGAAGTCAACCACTCTGCTTATACATACTGGCCCACAATCACTCAGCAGCTCTGAAAAAGATAGGGGTCTAAACACAGGTCTGCTGAGTCCTAGATTACTGCTGTGACCACTTCATTATCCTTCCTCTCACCCCAAATAACTCCAAAAATAGAAGCCTGTAAATAAGAAGGTGCTGACTCATCCCTGAGATCTGTTTGTAAAGCTACATTAGGACCTGAGTTGTTGTTTTGGGCTGCTTTAGTATTTTCATAAATGTCTGCCAAATGGTATTCTAGGGGAAAGGCTGCAGCAAGCGATTTAGAAGCTACCCTAATATCAACAACGCTGCAATCAATGACATTTCAGTCCAGTTTGGAGAGGCAATGTAGCTTAACAGCCAAGCCAGATGACAGCCCATTTCACTGATTTATCTAAAGGACAGATTGGTTTTCACTGGAGACCCAGCAATAGGAACTGCTCAACCTGGGAGAAGCCCCAGAACACATTTCACCCTGAACAGACAGAATACCTGCTGATGTTACAGATCATTCATTCCTCAAACCATCTCTCTGCTTTTGTTTCTGTGGGATGTCCCTTCTTATCTAACCCATGTTTGCCGTGTTTAACAAAGCCACTGTTTCAAAACAGATATACTACGGTAGTTCATTCTCTTGATTTCTGTTTAAAGAGAAACCTATTGATTTCAGCTTACAGACAAAAGCAGTTCATTTTTCATTTCCTTCCTAGTTTTCTAGGCATTTGGGTGCATTTTTTTCTTAAGCAAAAGTAAAGACAAGAGCTACGGAGTGCTCAGTATATTTAGAAAGTGACATAGACACAGACATCTGTCTAGACATGAGCAAAGAAGGAGATTAAGAAAAAGATCAAATAAGAACATAATTGCCAACACTGATGGATTAGGATGGAAATTTGAAACTGGTGCAATAGCCAAGCATAGAAAACAAATCAATTTCTAATCTGCTTTCTCAAATGCCAACTAGATAGCACTACATATATTTTTTTTTTGCTGATACCTGACTAAAACTTCATTTTCTGTGTGTTGGGGTTTTTTTGTACATTTCATCTCATCTCTCTCCAGTGGTTATGGAGCAGAACATGTTTTACAAAGTCCTAGAAACACAGAACAGCTCAGGTGGGAAGAGACCTCAGGAGACCATCTAGTCCAACCTCCTACTTGAAGCAGGATCACTACTTAATTCAGACCAATAATGAATTCCTCTGTGTTTGGTGCAGCTGCAGCCTTTAAAATAGTTGGAGGTTGTCATGTTTCTACTCAAATCCCTCTTTCTTAGGGCAAGGAAGAAAATCTTTATTTTCATTTTCCCAATCCCCTGAGTGCAGGATACTGCTTATGTATATGCAAGTAGATGCATGACTGGGAACAAAACATACAGGACCATCAATGGTAAGGGAAGTGAATGAGGAATGAGGAAAGAAAAAAGAAGATAGAAAGGAGAGAAAAAAGCCTTACAAAACAAGCAAATAAGAAAAAAAAAAAAAAAAAAAAAAAAAAAAAAAGCCAAACCAACCAACTCAATGTTTTTTTAGCCCAGTGAAAAAGAACATCAAGAGGATACGACCTCTAGTTACAAATACACTGGATGAGAACTGTTTAAGCTAAAGGGTAATTCTGACATACAGTGAAATGAGTATAAACTGGCTGCATATATACAGACTACAAACACTAGGCTTCCAGATGTCATGAAGCTGAGACCCTTCAAGACTCTTATAACAAGAACAACATATTTTAAAGGGACTTTCATGACTTCAGAACACTGGAACTTCACTATCCTCCACTCTATTTTTCCTTTATGCAAAGACAAAGGAAGTGGGACTGGGGAAGAGTTAAGGTATATATATTATGTAAACTTCAAACACGGCAAAACAGTCCTGGATTTCAGAGCGTCTGTTGTGCCTGCAAAGGTTATGCAGGGAAGTAGAACACAAATCCCCAGCTCTGTATTGTAGATATACTGTGGAAGACATCAGGTCCATCTGAGGAATTTTGCAGCAGCCTGCCAGCTGCTGGCCATGCTCTCAACCATCCCATGCCATCTCACTTCATCTCCCTCTGCAGCTCCTCTAAGGTACCTTCTGCCACGGAGAAGGGTAAGAACCATGTATTGATATTTTTACCTTATTTATTTGGAAAGTGTGCTGAGATGTCATGCAAAAAATGACTCGTTGTTATGCAACCACTGGGGTCATTATATATAAGCTTTGAAGGCTGGGCACGTAAGAACTCTGGAGACTTTTAAACTAATTGTAAGTTTGATTTAGTTTTTAAATCAGTAGCTACAATTAATTTCTGAACTCTTTTCCAAACTGAGATGTTTTTGAAAGGACTTCTCTTTAACATAAATTTACTTTCAGATGCGGATTATTTGGCTTCCTGAAATGGCTTCACACGTGGAGTAAAAATGGTATATTTATCATTTACTGACAAGGCTGACTGGTTGCAGTGCTTTGCAAGGCAATTACTCTTCAGTTCACTAGATAACCTCTCTAGAGAATCTCAGAAATATTTATGGCAACAGTGGCTGCCACAAAATCCAGGGTAAGATATATCGAGTGATACTTTATATTGGTACAGATTAGATGTTTAAATGTCCATGAAATCTAACCTACCAAGTTATCTTTCAAGATACCTGTGAGAAAATGAGGAAACAATTGTACTCATTACTCAAACTACCAACTTTTTTTTTCTCAGAGTACTTCAGTTAATTCTGAAAACATTATGACATGCAAATCCCTTCTCTCCCAAAGCAACCTTTACAGTAGTTCACACTGGATTTGTTGAGTAATATAAAACTGGACACACTATGTGAGCTGCGTTTCAAAGTACTTTGCAAGTTCACTTCAGAGATCGTATCAGAGTACTTTACAGCTTGTATTTCCATACATACTATAAGCAAAAAAACTGTCTCTGGTTTCTCCTTTGAATCTCAATCCTAATATTTATGTTATAAAAGTATTATATCACCAGTTTGAACTTTCTCAAAAGAAATAACCTGTTACAAACACATGTGAAGATGTGTTACCATTTCTGTTATGAAGAGTTGGGATTTATTGAATAAGTAATTTAATTTCAATAACTCAAATCACACATAAGAACCATTCCAGTTAAATATATTTCCTGTAACAAAGTGGAAAAGAAAGATGCCTGTTCACAGCCCCGGTATCTCAGACATCTGCTTGACTTCCTAGCAGTGCAGGGAACCAACATACAACGCACAAAATTAACTGAAAGTTCAAGAATTGAAGTTCCAAACAGCTACCAAGTAGGTCAATATTGTTAAACCACATCACTGCGCACTCACTACTCCAAGAGCAGTTGAGCTGTTTTCATAGTCTACATTTGGTTATCCTGTGATATTGTGTGAAGACGCCATAGTATCACCTAGCCAGTACTGATTTCGGTCTTCAGGAGCTGAAGAATTTAGGCAGTGAGCCAACAGCAGGCTAAAGTGTGAGTGAGCTACACAGCAGGAGATAGGAAAATGTGAAAGGAAAAACATGGAGCTCCTCACAGGCGGCAAACTCCATGCATAGGCATAGGTCTGCAGGGGATAATCAATTTAGCCTGATAAGTAGAGTTTCTCTAATCACTTTTCCAACTGTTTTTTTTTTTCTCTTAAAAAAAAAAATAATCTTATATTTAATTTTCTTTCCGTGCCTAAAAGCTTTTTCTATGAAAAAGGTCCTTGAAAGTGAATCTCTAATTGTCTTAAGGAGTTTGTTTGGGGACACTCCTTACTAATGAAAAAGTGTCACTTTCTGTCAAAGAAGACTGTCCAAAGGCATTAGGTTTTCAAATAACTTCTTACCCCACAGTACCGCTCCTCATTGAAGATCTGTGGAGGAAGAGGAATTCCATTTTGAGGCTTTTTTTCTCCAGGAACATTCTCTCTCATCCATTTCCTGTTGTCCTCATCACCTGCTATGTCCATTTGCTGAAAGTCAATCTTGTTGGCCTCTAAAAAGCCCACTACCTCTTGCTGTTTCTTTTTGATCTGGTTAGGAAAGAGGAAAAACAAAAATGCTTTTTAAAATTGAAATTTGTTTACAGAAAGCAATTACTATTACAAGTAGAGCTGATGCAAGTATGTCAAGTTGGATCCACTGTTCCTGTGCCCCCACCAAACCTTCTGAAGATGAGATTTAACACTTCTCAGCACCCAGTCCACTACTGTTACTTTTCTCTCCCCCAGCTTCCTTTTCCCCTCCACCTTAGAAAAGAAAGCTCCTACTCTGTTTCCAGATCCGTGAATGCTATGTGCAAACAGCTAAACTAATCCTACCTACGTATGTAGATATGTACATATTCTCCTCAGTATACAAGACCTTCCCTTTTTCTGCTCTTTACATATGACATTTTGATTTCAGAGCTGTATGTTTTTCAGTTTCTGTTCTTAAATTCTATGCATGATTAAAGTAAGTGAAAATCAAGTACAGTTCAATTTTTATGCTTGAATATTTCCCACATGATAAACAACGTTTCAGCACGGCCATAGAAAACATGACATACAAATAAAGCATGTTATACAAATCTTAGAATTCAACTGTGGCCCTTATTCCTTTGAATATAGTGTTGTAGTACTGTATAGACCTAGGATCAAGACATCAAGCCTATAGCTTATCCTTTTAGCTTAAAGATGCAATAATAATCATTATACTTCTCTACTAAAGGGCTGCTGCTCCTAAGCAACATTTAAACAACTTTCCAGTTTTGCCTATTTACAACATTTCCAGACTTGTAAGGCCAAATTGTTTTGTCCTGCAAGAACTACAGTATTTGAAGCAAGTGCTGTTTGGACTGATGTGTCCAAATTCCCTCACGCTGCTCTTTGGTCACACACAACTATATTACTGCCTAGCACAATCCTGCTCCAGAGATGACTCTCCTTCCAGTTCTGTTCCTCCATGAAGCAACTTAATGTGACATAAAGATGACAGTAGCTAGAATGACTTAGCCAAGTAAGTTTTACATATAAGCCATTATATGATTTGAAACCAGATCTTCCACAAATCAGAAATCTGAGCACTTGAATTTAAAGTGACACCAACCTAGTGTAAATCAATTTGCGACAGGCAATAAGATGAGAAATACCCATGGGTTATGTATTTCTATAATCTAATAAACCTGAAAAGATGAAGTAGTCTGCAAGCCTATTCTATTGGTGGAGTGAATTCTTATTACTAAGCATACAATTTATTTTTCTTAAGTAAGGATATATTCTACCTATACAGTTACATTTTGCTTATAAGAAATAAAAATATATAGCATTTTATGCATGTTAATCTAGCAGCAGAGGTTTATGGTGAGCTTGCAAAAGCAAATAACTTTGAATGCAAACACTGCTGTAACGTGTTTACAAGCCACAAGGCTGACAGTTCTCAACGGTGCTCATTTACATTCTTATTTTCAATTGTTAATTAGAGGTTATTTTCTTAATGGCCATTTAGCTGCATGGTTATTTGCTAAGCACACCCAGATGGTACAAAGGATTGCCTGAGGTACACATGCACACTTCATTGGAGGAGGTGGCATTATTATGTTTGTATAAAGGGTTAATAACATCTGCATGAGCCAGTACTAAGAGTTCTACCACTTGCTCTAAAAGTCAGTGCATTCAAATGCTGTCAGCTGCAATTTCAGCATCAGTTTGTTCCTCGGAGCACTGAAGGCGATACGGCTCCCGGAATAGCAAGAGCCACATAGATAATGCCACTAAGGAGATAAAGAGAACAGAACTACTGAGTCTGTTCTCCCCTGCATATGGCTGCAGCTATAACTTTTAGAAAAAACACTGGATAAACAATTTTTTCTTCAGTTTGAAGTTCATAATACACAGGAGGATCAGACAGTGCCAGAAAAAAAAAAATGTTGAGGATAAATAAAGCTATATGTAATTATGCCTGGATAAGGATAAAGCAAGATGTTTTTCATGATGACAATAATAATAAACTATGCAGGAGGCGATACTTGAGACTTAGAATGACTAGGACTTAGGCAGAACAGAAGATTTGATGCCTGAGACACACATGAAGTATGAAACCATAAGGCGAGCCTCAGCCACGGTCAGCACCAGTAGCTGGGCAACCGTAAGAACGTCTCTAGCAAACAGCACTCGGGGAAATCTTCCAGTTCACAACAACACAGAGGACACACAAAGGTTTTCCCAGAATGGATGAGATTGCAGGAACTTGTTGTGCTCTCACTTGTGTCTGATGGCATGGGAAGAATTCAGATTACTCAGCCATAGATTCCCTGGAAGTGGTGGTGAGCAAGATATCATTTCATCAATGCCATTTTCCCTTTCAACAAAGCTTAAGTTCCACTGTGCCTTGCTGACAGTCCCTCAAATTAAGAAAGAACACTTTTAAATAAATATCATCTAGCTAGAGTGTAAGAGCTACAGATCACAGTAGATTCACCTGATGCACAACTGAATGCTATCTATATTCTTGAAATCCAAAGCATTTCCAGCTGCCTGCGGTAGAAGCAAATGGTGTCTAGTCGACAACTTACTGCAGTGGGAACATCATCGTCAGCAGGCAAGGCTGCTGCAGCTCTCTGTTCTAACTGAGACACAATCTGTTGATCGATATTTATTACATTCTAACTCACTATCAAGTTATTCTATCAAGTATTAGTCTTATTAGTCTACATCTTGCTTGGTCTTTCTGATGTGATTGAGTTACTTTACAACTGAGACCTGCAGATTTGAAAGCGAGTAAGCTAAAAGAAACAGAAACACTGGAAAAAAGTGGTTTCAGAAGTGCCCTAACCATAAGAACTAAGAAGCAAGACTTTAGAAGACCTCTGAGTAAGACCTCATGATACACTTGGATTTTGCAGGAATTTACCCACTTCTAGACACTTCTGTGGCAAGAAACAAAATTATTTTAGCACTGAATGCTTCTTACAAGCCAATCATTTAGTACTTTTTTTATGCTGTATCTCCACTTCTGCTTGCCTTCATGCATAGTTCAGCATCAGCTATGTTTGGCACAGAAAGATCATTAAGCTAAAGTTATTTAAAACAAATTTCTGAATCACTGAAGGGAAAAATACAAACCAATCTGCCCTAGACCTACACTGAATTATATTACTCAAGTATCTGATCCAGAGCACCAGAATGCTGCTGGGTTCATTGCATTCACTTTTAAAAAGTACTTCTTCACACAAGAACAAGTTGCAATTAGCAATGTAAATTAGCAATGTAATTGTGTAGCACATAAAATAGGAATTATTTTAATTCTTCACTAATGATACTCTGCTGACCTACAAGAGGACTGGTCAGGACCGTCATATTTTGAAATTCAGAATGAACAACATGCATGATGGAGACCAGACACACTGAAGATAGATCATCAGTGCTACTAGGGCAATTTAGACTTCCAATTTAAAAATGAATTTAGGGATGAAATTCATTCTTCCAACAGATACTCTGGTTTCTCTTCAGATCATATAAATCTTTTGCCTTTTACTAAAAATTTCCATGGAGAGGAATAGCAGAAGTTGTACAAAGCTGATACAAAATTCATAATATAATACTATACTGGAGTTTATGTTAGCTCCTTGAATGAGTTTTACTTAATACATATATCAAAACTTATCAAAAGTTCACTGAAAAAATACCTTCTATCTATTTTAATCAGTAAATGTGGAAAACTTCTCCAGCTGAACATTGTGTTTACTTGGAATTAAAGTTATGCACCAGTAATCCAAACACATGCTGCTTTCTGAGATTGCTACAGCTATTCATACAACCCACACACTAGCAAAAAGGAAATACAGAGGCATATTGCCTGGCAGAGATGCCATACTCTTCCTTTCAATATGTCTGGGATCTCACTGACAGCTTTTGAAGGCTGCTACCATATAGTGGAGAATGGCATTAATAAGTTTAAAGCCAACTGCAGTTCACTGGCATCAGTTGTCTTTCTCAGAAGAAAAAACTGACAGCAGCACTGCTTAACAGTACAAAACGGTGGGATAAAGTTTTCATGTTGCCCTGTGTTCAGTGTAGCATACGCATACACCTCTTCATTGCAGTCCAACAGGAAAGGAGGTAGTTATTGCTGAAAGCTGGGAGAGAGATGCAATAAATGTGTATAGTAAAGGAAAGATTTGGGTTCAGATAGAACTAAGTATATGATATGTTTAGTTTTAATTGCTTAAGCGACCTTCTGAATGTCAACATTTAATTCAAATACTCCATTGCTAAACTACAACCCCAAACCTGTAGCTGGAATGGCAACAATCCATGCCAGAGTCGCACATTTATCTCAAAGGAGGACGAAGGTAATGGCCACAGCACACACAGAGGATGTCTGCAGTGGGATTTTGGTCATGGTCACACCTTTTCTGCAGAACAGATGACTGGTAAAGTGGGCAGGTAAGGCTCTTGTTAGGTCAATCAAAGCAGACCAAAACAGGAGATCAAACAGGAGTGAAAAGACTGCCAATGCACACTTCATGGCAATTTACAACACTGTTTAAGAAGTCACTGTTAGATTACAAATTAACAAACCTGCAGTTACCAACCTCCTCCTCTTTCTAAGTCTTGCATATAAGGTTTCTTATTTAGAAAGGAATACTAAAGTGTCAAAAGTAAATTCAGAGAGTCAAGCTAACAGACGGGCGGGGGGAAAAAAAAAAGCTGATGAGAAAGCTGCAAAATTTCCTTTTGGAAGTTTGAATTCTAGCAAATATCTCCCTGTTCATTTTCTAGAGATGATGGCTATATGATCGGGGCATTTTTTAAAGCTTTTAAACTCTGGAAGCTTCTTAAAGACATGAGGCTAGTGTCAGGGAGACAGAGATGTAGTTACAGATATGTGCTAGCACCAGCCAAATTGTTTAGCCATGTCACTGGGAGTGAGTGACTGCCAAAGGAAAGCTGCAATCTGAGATGATATGGGAACTGGATATAAAAGGAAACAGTCCTTTCCCGGTTCCCACCTCCCACAGTCTTCCAACCTCTCTACTATTCACATGCCCTTTCCTTCAGCTAATACATTATGCTGACAGCTACAGCAGTAGATCTCAATTCTAAGAATCAACAGTACCCCATTTTAAGAGGTACTTAAAAACAACAACAACAAAAAAATAAATTAAAAAAAGAAAAAAAGAGAGGATGGAGAAAACATTCTTTCTGCAAAACTTTATTCAGCTCACTTTGACTCCAGGCTCTTTATCAGACACAGATCCCACTCAGCAGGAGCAGCGTCCTGAAGTTTCCTTTAAAATTAAATACATTAATTTATACTATAAACAACCTACCCTAGTATTTGTGCAAATACAATATCCACTTTTTCCTTCTTCAATTAAGATATTTTGCATACACTTCTTCAAACAGAAATAAATCTACTAACTGACAGATAATTTATATGGAAATGTTATTTCTATAGTAAAGTCTAACATGCAAACAAGTTTGCATTAACATCCATTTTCTACATCTTGAGTTGCTTTCAAAAATAAAGCGGTCAATACAGATGAGAACAAAATCAGTGTTTTCCCCTTGCATGCAAACTCAGGCTGTTCTGGGATCTTCCAGGCTGATTTACCAGCTTCATCCCAGCAGAAAGAGGCGTATGTTAAATGAGACACCTACCGCTGTAGACCCCGAAGATGTGGCTACAAAGACTTTGATCACCATTTTGATAGTGATGACAATGAATCAGCAGAGCAAGCCTGCTATCCACAAGTCAACAAAGTCCCGAGAGGAATCCCAGCCTTCAGCAGGACCTGGATCATAAATGGGTGCTCCTCACAGCAATCCACCCGCTTTAGCTCCCTCTCTCTTCAGGGTCCCGGGTTTTCCCACTCCATTGGCTCCTAGGTATTTTGGGATGAGAGGCCAGTGTGAGGATTGGGTAGTAAGCGGAGCCACAGCAAGGGGTTTGCACCTGCCCCTGGCCTTATCGAATTAGATTGACAGGATGGCAGTCCATAAAAGGCAAAGGAGAGTCCTGCACCAATGAGTCAAGGCTGGAGAAATGTTCAGGAGAGGGGGAAGGGACAAGGGACAGGGATCAGGCAACACAGCGCAGGGGAAGATCACAGAGCTGTAGGGTAATGTTTAAAGTTGTGTTGGTGCGGTCTCAGTCATCTCAAGTATAAAAGGCTTGTACTCTATCCCTGATCAGAAAAAGGACATTTTTTCACATTATAAAAGGGAGGGGCAACATAAGTTCAAAAGTAATTATAGCAGAGATCAGAGATTTCTCACTGAAACAAGGCTCTGTTACAAATACTTGCAGCAGAAAAAAACTCAGATCATGATCCAAACTGTAGGGCTAAGGCACTTCTCTGAAACGACTATGTCAGTCCATTTCCTGATACTAGGAGGATGATTGGACCAATTGCATGTGTGCAAACCCCATTATTGGATTCTCTTCCTCCTCTTTGCATCACTGGTGAATTTTTCCAATGCACAGGTTATAAGAGGAGGTCCAGAATTCTCAATAAAAAAAATTCTGTTCTACTGTGTTATCCAGGATGCACTTTTTTCCATCTGGCTGTTTTCTTTTATTGCGAAGACAGTCACAATTCAGTGACTGCCTGCATTTATTTGCTCAAGAAGGTCTCTGAGCACAAAAGGTATTTAAAGAATGTTAAATATTGACAGATTACTTTTAGATTCTAAGGACCAGGCACATTTCTGCTCTAAGCTTGCAACGTGATACTGAGTTCAGCAAGCTGACCTGCAGACTGAGATAAAACTGACCTTATATACATACTAAAAATTATGATTGAACATGACAGTGTCCAATCCTAAAACTACTTACAGTGGAATATAATCCTCCTTACTAGGATTGATTAGATAGAACTTAGAGCACAAGAAAAATGCTGCTTTAGAAACTAAGTTTTTTGCACATTCAAACTGCTAATGAAGCTGGAAATGCAGCATTTCATGTATTGAACAGGAATCCTGAAAAAACTCAATGAAAACTAAAAATAACAGTATGGATATTTTGCACTGTTTACTGTGGCTTGCCATCTGTCAGTTTTTCTTCTTTTGAGAAGCAATGGGAGGTTTGGGGGAAAAAAAAAGCCATTTGGAATTAGGTAGTTTCACAGAGTATTTCCCTGCAAAACATGATAAACAACTTAGTACAAAACAATACATTTTTGCTCGAGGTTATTATATATCAGAGCTTTTGAAGATGCAGAGGAGGGCCACAAAAGTGCTTAAAGGGCTGGAGCACCTCTCCTATGAAGACAAGCTGAGGGAGCTGGACTTGTTCAGCGTAAGATTAGTCTGCAGATAGACCTCAGTGTGGCCTTCCAGTGCTAGAAGGGAGCTTATGAACAGGAGGAGGACTGATTTTTTGCAGGGTCTGATAGAGATAGGGTAAGGGGAAATGTCTTTAAACTAAAAGATGGGATATTTTGGTTAGATACTGGGGGAAATTCCTTACTCAGAAGGCAGTGAGTTGCTGGCACAGCTGCCCAAAGAAGCTGTGGTGCCCCATCCCTAGAGGTGCTCAAGGCCAGGTTGGATGGGGCCCTGGGCAGCTGAGCTGGTGGGCTGGTGGGCCCCATGGCAGGGTTGGGGTGGGGGGGCCTGTGAGGTCCCTTCCAACCCAAACCATTCTGTGATTCTCTGATTCTATGCCCATTTCTCTAGAAAAATTGCATGTAAATAAAAACTTTCCTAATAAATGGAACGAAAATGTCTGATAGGCTGAAACATGCTGTTCACAAATGAGTTGATATGGATACAAGTGCCCTAAAAAATTACAAAGGTTGCTGTGGTCGAGTGCTCCAAAGCATACTGATAGTTGTCGCACATAGAGCAATAATAAATTCTTAGTGCATTAAGAGGCAAATATTTTCACTGTGCTGTTTAGCATCCAAATCCCCTCCTGAACAGCACGGGGAGAGAACAAACTCAAAGCCAGCAGACAAAGAAACCAGTACAGGTAAAGATTTTAGAGCATGAAAAGCTTTATGTGGACAAAAATACAAATAGCGTGTGCAGGGACGAAGCGTAGACATAGACAAACGGGCGGCAGCGAGGTAAGACGGCGAGGCCGCGACTACGACTCCCAGCGTGCCCTGCGTCCGCTGCCCGTCCTCACGGCAACGGCGGCACCCAACGGCCGGTAATGGCGGCGAGAGAGAGCCTGGAGCGGTGTGATGGAGGGTCAGGGCGGTGAGGTGTGGAGGCGGCTCTCGGGGCGTTGGGCCGACTGCTAAACAGCCAGGGCTTCTCGCTTTGCCTTGGGCTGGCAGCAGGAGCCTCCGCCTGGGAGTTGGGGGAGGTTGCTGGGGTGTTTGGAGGAGCCCGGAGCGCTGCTGCTGAACAGACACTCGCTGTGCTCATGCGTTTCATTTCCTACTCAAGTACTGTTTGTTTGTTTGTTTGTTTGTTTTTCCTTTTTTCTTCCTATTGTAAGAACCTCAATTTCCCCGTTACTTGTCCTTAACTTTCTGTGCTTTCTCCTCTTGGCTTTTTCTTTCCTGTTTAATTTACTTCTCAATGTCTGCTTTTGAAAATGCATGGTGAGGTTCAGCCCACGCATCTCATCGACACAAAGCAGCAGTTCTAAGTTGAATTGAGGCTCATTTGATTTAAACCCAGTTTGGCCAGAAAATGTTGACAGTACTAAATGAAATTTGAACAGCAGTACAAACCTGTGTACCGGGCTGGCCTTTGCCTCATCATTGTGTTACGATACAAGTTCCCATCTCCTGGCTGTGATTAGAGCGGCTCAGATTCAACAGGACCCTGGGCACTCCTCCGTCTTCCACAATGAAAAATAATTTGTACCAGGGAATGAAGAGTAAGGAAACTTGTGGGTTGACCTGCAATGTTTTGTGCAATCCTAAAGTGCACATTTTGGTGGGGAGGGGGAGTTAAGTGATTCCCCTCTTCCGTTTAAGAAATTTAATTTAAAGTAAAATTTCACCAGAAAGCAAAAATGGCAACAAAGTAGGAAGAATATTTAATAAACATCTTCTCTTCCCCCCCCCCCCCCCCTTTTTTTTTTTTTTTAGCTAAGGCTGCTTCTTACATTTTACGTGAACTATCATTTTAATACCCCTTTAATTTCCTTTACATACTTGCTACTCTCTCTTAATTCCCCCCCAGATATACAATTTATTCTACTAATGAGTAGAATCTGTAAAACTATGGGCTGAGTCATCTTCAGGTCATATTGAGAAAGGCTGAGCTGTATCCCGAGAAATCCTTTTTACTGAAACTGCACTGTTTAAATAATATTGCCAGGAGTGTAAGCTACTGTAAGCTAAGTCAATCTGTTCTACTTTCCAGAAGACTCAGTAAACAAAAATACTTAGGTATAACATACTTACAAATATGTATCACTTGTCAGCATTTTATATTTTATGCTAGATATATTCTATTTCAACAATTAAACAATTAGGAGAATTCATTTTGCTTGCAAATGAGACTACTGAAAAAGGTAACTCCCAATAAATCCAGTCAAAAAAAGTAAGATCACTGCATCAGAGAACCACATCTCTGACAACAGTGCATTACAGCTGATATTTCCAGTTATAAGTGCCTTGACAGGTATAGCAGTGTCTTATAGCACTTTAAAAAGGAAACAAATGTGTTAAGTATGGTTAGGCTGCGAAACAATTGTCCTTATTTAAAAAAAAAAAAAAAAAAGAGTATGTATTTTCCTAATGTTTCTTCTGAAATTGTGCAGACGTACTTTTGTTATATTGTTAATCTATTCATTTATTTTGTTTTGTTTCTATTTGAAAATAAGTAAAATAAAGCAACGTCCCAAAAGTTTAAGAAGATTTTTATTTCAGTGTCAAAATCAGAGACTGTGTTGTATAGCTTTAGGTGCTGCTACATCTCCTGCCTATTATGTTAATATGTCAGTCAAAATAACTTCATTTTGTGATCTGATTTGTGATCTAAGTATTGAAAAATATGACTAAATGATACTTTTGTGACATGGACAACAAAAAATAACAAAAGAATGCAATTAGCAATAACATCTTAACTTTAGAGAATTATTATGTAATACTACAAAGCACTTTTTAGCTATAGAGCATAAACACAATTGCACTTCTTTTAAATATACTTATCCTGGATAAAATGGGTATGTTACTGGAAACAAACCATGGTATCTGTTTACATTTAAGCATCAGTATCTTGTAAATAGTCTTCAAAAAACACATGCCAGTATTACAGTAAATTCTGAGTTAAATGATTATATTTCGTATTTGCAGTTATTTCTGCAAATAAAGTTACTGCTTACTACACACAATTATTTTACTGGATTAGTATTCCTTAGCATTGCTTAATATAGATGTGGACTGTTTAATACTATTTACGTTAATAGTAAATAACTCACTAACATTTTCGTTCCTGATAGCTCATGGAGGTCAATTTTTAAGCCTTCTACCACAGCAGTGATTAATTCAAATGAATATTTCCTTCATATTTTAGTGCAGGAGGATAGCAAGTCCTAGTAAGTGTGACACAGACGATTCCCCAAAGCACAGAAGTATTAGAAGCAGCAGCTGAAGCAGAGGTAATGATTGCAAGCAATGCAGTGGAGAATGCAGAAGTAAAAATCATCAAACTAACTATTCTGAGGGCTTTGTCAGTGACTTGCTCTGAAACAGCTAGAAGCAGCCGTTGTTTAGAACTATCCGAAACTGAAGAGAAGAAAATGCAGAAAAATGAAAGAAAGAAGAAAAAAGAACAACAGATCTTTTCCCAAAACAATAAAGGTAATTCATTTTCTGGTAGTATTCAAATGTGACTGTCTTCAGATGCACGGCTGTTCCCTTTCTATGGTGTCTTTTTTTTTTGTGTGTAATGAGGAGGGCAGGGAAAACACTTTTTCACTGAAGAATAACAAATTATGT